AAAGTCCTAGAGAGGATGGAACTACACTGGTACAAGGGAATGGAACGACACTGCATAGAAGAATCGATCGGGAGAATTTCATCATTTGATCGAGGATCTGAGAAGTGTGAGATTATATTCCACGAATATCTGAAACCGGACTTTGACGACTTATGTTGGCCATGATCTAAGTATTGTTTCGGCATGCTTACTCTCCATGGTTGAGGGTCCTTTAACAAGTATAACAACAACAACAACAACATACCCAGTATATTCCCAACAGGTTGGGGTCTGGTATATACCCAGTATATCCTTTAACAAGTATAGTTGACTTTTTTTTTTTTTAAAACCAACAAGCATATTTTACTGAAAAACAAGTCGAAGTATAGTTGGTCTTCATATATCACTCATTTATTTATGTGTATCCTGTGTGTAATGTTAATACCCTTTTCTTGTTGCTACTGTTGAATTTCGTGGACAGAGTTTCGAGCTTCAAACACCCCTAAGCTGGTATGTGTTGATCTAAACGCTCGAAACTATGTCCACAAAATTCACAATTCACCAAATAGGCGTTACCTTACATGTTCAATTACTTTGTTCTTGCCAATAAAATGATAGCCAAACTGGTATCTTGAACGGGCTAACAGCTTATGGATACGCTAATGATAGCCAAACCATACGCTAATGCACATCAAGTATGTATGTGTAGAAAGTGCATATGATATTTACTCCTTTTAGACCTAATTCATTTTATTCATCTATTCGCTGGTAGCTGAGGAATTTATTATGCTAGGTGTGTCAAATACCGAATATATGAACGTGACCTCGCTCATTTCTAGCATCACACATGTAAAAATTCTGACCAAAGATATCTTTATTTAAATCAATTTTAGAAGATATGTGATATATAAATAACTTAAAAATCATTACTAGGCCGGACTAATATCCTTTTGATTTACACAGACTATTGAGGGGAACAACAATTAAAAACTAAATACACACTAAAGTAAATGGGACCAAACACTTCAAAAAATGAGACTAAATCCATAAAAATTGTGACTAAATAAAAACAAAGCCCTATAATACAACACAATTACAAATACAACTCCCTTCTTCTCACAAGCTACACACAACTGTTGCGAAGAAGGCTATTGCAGTATGAGCAAAAGAGGATTGACTTGAATACAAAGATGTTTTTGTCAGTCTTATGGCAACAAGGGTGTGGCTTAGGCTGAATTCATCAATGTTGGGCAAAGGATTATCTTTGTCGGTGCATGTGAGATTCCCTTGGTTGGTAGTGGCTTTGATGGATATGTGGTTGATGAGTATGGTTCTTTTTGTTGTTGCTGGGATTATTTTCTTCCTCTGCCAGGAGACCTGTCATTTTCTTTGCTTCTTGGAGTTAAACATGGGCTCTGGAGGGCTTTCTTCTTGGTTTGGAGGAACATTTCAGTTATAAGTGATAGTAGATGATGAAGATATGGCTTTAGCTGTTCAAGCTGGGATTCACTCTTCTGGAAGCAGCTCATCAGTATCTGAAGACATTAACTCTCCTTATTCTCTTTTGGTTCTTGTATTTTCATGTTTGTTGATCAAGATGCTAGAGCCGAGTGTGGTGNATTACATGACCAAGGGGTACAAACTCGTTGAAAAAAAAAGAGTCCTTCAAAAGATGGAACTGCACTTGAGAATTTGATACTATTGGGTGGATTTGAGACGTGTTGATCGAGAACGTTTTTTTTTTTTTTTAATAATTTAAATTTAAATTTTAGGTATTGATTTTTTATTAGCACCTTAGTCATTCCCCTACTATATATACACCCTTTGGCCATCCATTTTCAACAACCTTGAGCAGCACCTGCTCTTCAAAACCCTACCCGCCAACTCCTTTTCATCATCTTCTTAATTATGCCCTCAATGGACAGGCTCAGCGCCTTGTCTGACGGAATCATCTCTCACATCCTCTCTTTTCTCCCCTTCGAAACCACCCTCTCCACCAGGACCCTCTCCGCCAGATGGAGGCGTATATGGGCCTATGCCCCTAACATAGTACTCCCCGGAGTTTACATCCCGTATACAATTTCCGAACGCACGGAATTTGTACGCACGGTGGCAAATATTCTGTCCCAATGTGAAGCACACGGCGTGAACAGACTTCGTCTCCCTATGGGCTGCTGCAACGAGCATGAAATTGAGTCGTGTCTCGAGAGCGCCTTTGCGTGCGACGTGAAAATTCTCAATCTTACTTGCCTTTTGACCTCAATATTATGCCCCCTTGCGTCTTTACATCTAAGACCCTAGTTGACTTGACGATAACACATTTGCATATTGAGATGAAGAAGGGCGCTGTGTGTTTACCAGCCCTTAAGAGGCTTCGTCTCGAGTGCGTAGACTTTCGGCTTGGTTGCACCCTCGAAAGCCTGATTTCTGGCTGTCCCGTGCTTGAAGATTTGACTCTCCATTTCTGTTATCTTAATGAAGACGACAATGTGGAATGCCATTGCATATCTTCTACCACTATGAAGAGGTTGGTTTTCCGTGGTGCCTCAACTTCCAGGTTGAAGATTGATACGCCTGATTTGATTGAAACACATATTCATGTTTGGTGCCTTGATCATCCTCGTTCTCTTGTGGAACTGGTGGGTAGGTTCTCTGATGTAAAAGATATGAAATTATGCGCTGGGGGGGAGGTAAACTTATCATTCGCCATCTCTTTATGCTTTCTTTTTCTTTTTTATTTTTTTGTAATCTTTGTTTCACTGCAGGTTCCTGACTTAACCCATGTTGATTTGAACATAAAGTTGCACAATTTAACCAAACTCACGGTGAAAGGTGATTGGCGTTTCATCTCATATTTTGTGGAGAAGGCTGACAAGCTTGAAGTCCTTAATGTTAGTACGATTGTTTTGTCCGTACTTTCAACTTGTATAGTTATATGTGATTGATGACCCGGCTTTGTTCTGCATTTGTTTTCTATTTGTTTCATCATCAGGTCATACAATATTCAGAACCTGAATTGGAGATGCAAGAATGGGAGATGGAAGAAACCCTCCAGTTGCCTATGGCTAATTCAATCATGAAGCTTCACAATTTAACAAAACTCGAAGTAGAAGTCGATTGGTGGTTTCTCACATATCTCTTAGAGAAGGCTGATAAACTTAAAGTCCTTATCATCCGTAACGTATGCCATTTCCTCTTTATTTATCTTTTGTCAGGATTTTATACTTGTTCACATTTTTATGTACTCAGTGATGAGGCCAGTTGGTTTTTGGCACTTGTTTACATTTCTGTTTCATTTTCAGGTTTATCATAAGCAAAACGGATTACCCTGGTTGGCGGTGCCCCTCCAAGTGCCTAATTGCCTGTCATCACATCTTAAAATAGTACAAATTCATGAATTGGATGGTACAGATGAGCGTGAACTTAGCATGGTTAGATATCTCTTGAAGAACTCTAAAGTCCTCCAGAGGATGGAACTACACTTCTTTGAGGGGATGGAACGACACTGCATAGCAGAATCGACTGAGAAAATTTCATCATTTGATCGGGGATCTGAGATGTGTGAGATTGTGTTCAACGAATATCTGGAATTGGGCTATGACAACTTAGGTTTTTGACATGATCTAAGTACTGTTTCGGCATGCTGACACTCCACGGCTGGGGGTCCTTTCATAAGTATCGTTGACTATTGTCTTCATATATCACTCATTTATTCATGTGTTTTCTGTGACTAATGTTATTACCCTTTTCTTGTTGCTATTGGTGAATTTTCGTGGACAGATTTTTGGTTTGGCTAACAACTTACGAATACGCTAATGATAGCCAAACCGTACGCTAATGCACGAGTGTGTTATGTGTAGAAAGTATGCACATGATATTTACTCTTTTTAGGCATAATAATTCGTTTTATTCATCTGTTCGCAGGCAGCTGAGGAATTTATTGTGTTATATGTGATATATAAATAACTTAAAAACCAATAAAACCACATGAGTAATTCTGACGAAAGATGTTTATTTAGATCAATTTTAGAAGATATGTGATATATAAATAATTAAAAACCAATACTTCAGACTAATAATCCTTTGGATTTACCCAGACTATATATAAAGGGAACAACAACTAAAGACTAAATGCTCACTAAATGAGACAAAACACTCCGAAGAATGAGACCAAACCCATACACAATTGAGACTAACAAAACAAAACACTATAATACACAATTGAGACTAACAAAACAAAACACTATAATACAACACTACCCAACACACGAGTTGATACCTACAAGGCTACAACTGAAAACTAAAAGAGACTACAAATCTTAAGCCCCCAGATCTAAGAACTCCGATCACATCTCGACTTGCGATTGAGATTTGGCGAGGAATCAAGACTCGAGCTCAAATCTAAGCTCTAAAAGCATCCCACCGAGAGAGAGAGAGAGCGGTCGTCGGGGAACTAGCCTCGTTGGATGAGCCACCGAATCTGGTCCCAACCCTGGCCCGAAAAAAAAAAAGTTTTTTTCTTCTATTGAGGAGAGAGAGCTTTTTTCAAGAGAGGTAAAAAGCGAAAGAAATAAATGATTCTAAATGTTATAAATTATGAAGGAGAATGAAATATATAAATAAATTTCCAAATATATGGACGTGAGTTGTCATTCTAGTATCACACTGAGTAATTGCGACGAAAGATATCTTTATTTCGATCAATTTTAGAAGATAGGCGAATTGAATCGGCAAGGTTAAGCGGCAGTTCCTGAAGTAGTTCAGAACCGGTAAGACGAACCAGCTGTTCGCCGAACAGGCCCGTGCTTATGTTCGGGAGGTTCAGGTTCTTCCAAACCCAGGCCCGGACACGACGGATATGACCCATTTTCGGGGTTTGGCCACATCTAATTCCACCTAAAAATTCCCCTGAAAAACGAAATTATTTATGAACCAAACATAGCCCACCTTTCAACGCCCATAATTGCTCCCCTAAAAGGCCCTAACAAAAGCCTACCCGCCAAGTCCCCTTTCATCCTCTCATGGCCTCGATCGACAGGCTTAGCGCCTTGCCGGACGATATCCTCTTTCATATTCTCTCTCTTCTCCCCTTCAAAACCTCTGTCTCCACCAGCGCCCTCGCCGCAAGATGGAGGTTTCTATGGTCTTCTGCCCCCAACATACAACTCACCGAAGATGAATCGAATTCGATTCCGGAGTCGATTTCCGATCACGGAAAGTTCGTAGACGTGCTGACAAAGATTTTGTCCCAATGTAAAGCGCACAACGTGAACACACTTCGCCTCCATATGGATTACTGCTACTGGCATGAATTTGAGCCGTGTCTTGAGAGCGCCTTCGTATGCAGAGTGAAAATTCTCGATCTTACTATGCGGTATGACCCTGAAATTTTGCCCCCTTGTGTGTTCACCTCCAAAACCCTAGTTGATTTGAGGCTCAATCTTTTCGATATTAAGATAAAGAATGTCACCGTGTGTTTACCAGCTCTCAAGAGGCTTCATATTGAGTTTGTTAGCATTGACGGCTCCCTGGAAAACCTGATTTCCGGTTGTCCGGTGCTTGAAGTGTTCACTGTTGATTACTTCATCCGATGTGACGAAAATGTGGTATCCCATTGCATATCTTCATCCACTATGAAGAGGTTGGTCCTCAATTGTGAGTTCCCTTACAAGTTGAAGATAGATACTCCCGCGCTTAATTATCTATTTTTACATTATAATATGCCCCATAATTTATCTGTTGGGTCGATGGACTCTTTGATTGAAGCACACATTGTTGTTGATCGTCTCAAGCTAATTGTGAACGATGATCTTTATTCTCATTCTCTGGTAGAGTTTGTGGGTAGGTTCTCTAGTGTAAAAGAAATGAGCTTATGTGCTTGGGGAGAGGTAAAACTTATTATTCTCCATCTCTTTGCTTACTTTTTTTTTTTCTCTCTATTTTTCTTTCTTTTTGTAATCTTCGTTTCCCTGCAGGTTCCTGACTTGACCTCTGTCGATTTGAACATAAAGTTTCACAATTTAGCTAAACTCACTGTGGAAGGTGATTTGCATTTCATCTCATATTTCGTGGAGATGGCTAACAAGCTTGAAGTTCTTAATGTTAGTCCGATTCTTTTGTCCTTATTTTCAACTTGTTTGGTTATATGTGAGTGACAACTTGGTCTTGTTCTGCATTGTTTTTTTTGTTTTCCATCATCAGGTCAGACAATGTTCGGAATGCGAGTCCGAACCCCTTGAATTTCCTAATTGCCTGCCAGCTAATTTAATTGTGGAGCTTCACAATTTAACCAAACTCGAACTGCAAGTTGATTGTTTTTTCCTCACATATTTTCTAGAGAATGCCGATAAACTTAAAGTCCTTATTCTCCGCAAGGTACGCCATTTCCTTTTTATTTTTCTCCTGTCAGGATTTTATACTTGTTCACATTTTTATGCACTCAGTGCCAAGGTCGTCTGGCATTTGTTTACCTTTCTGTTTCATTGTCAGCCTTTTAATCGAGAACGCTGGTTGGCGATACCCCTCCAAGTGCCTAAATGCCTGTCATCGCATCTTAAAATAGTACAAATTCATGAATTGTACTGTACAGAGCATGAACTCGACATGGTTAGATATCTCTTGAAGAATGCTAAAGTCCTGGAGAGAATGGAACTACACTGCCTACCAGAATCGATTGGGAGAATTTCATCATTTGATCGAGGATCTGAGATTTGTGAGATTTCCTTCAACGAATATAAACCGAACTATAACAGACTTAGTTTTAACATGACCTAGTCATTCTAACACTCCAAGGCTGAGGGTCCTTTTGTAAGTATAGCTTCCTATTGTCTTCGTAAATCACTCATTTATTCATGCGTTTCTTGTGAGTAATCGAATGACCCTTTTCTTTTGTTTTCCTTTCTTTTCTGTGTAGATGTTGAGAGATAGACTAGGAAAATGTTGAGCAACTTAAGAGAGCGTCTACTGAAACTTTTTCTATTTTTCTATAATTAAAATCAAATCAGAAGCAAGAATCAGAAAGCACTCCTCTTGAATCTTGATACATTTGGATTAGGAATGTGTCCTGGAAATTCAAGCAAATGTTGAACATTGGAAAACACTAAAACCTACTACTTTCTTATTCTCAAATTTATTTTAGCCAGAAGCTGAGATCGCTTCTTTCAAGTGTAATGTTGGAAAAATTATTTAAGAAAAATGATCAATAAACACATCTAATGGTGCCCACCAAATGCAGTTAAGGTGTTAGTTTTCTTTTACTTGGTGATGTATATAGTTTTCTACATTAGAAAGTTCTCCTACCGTGGTTTCCATTTTGTGTTGACATGTGCATGGTTCATCTTTGGAGTTCATTGTGCGTGAAGTTCCTTTTCTTGCTGTGGCTTCAATATCGTGTCTCTCATTTTGCCGTTTTCTATTTCCTATTTCTTACTATGTCGCATTTTATACTTATAAAATTGTCATCCGCATTTCTATTTTGCTTACTCGTTTTTGTATTACGTTTTATGTTGCTACGTGTCGCTTTGTTTTTTAGGTGTTCTCGAGCATGCTTAGTACGTGAGCTTGAGGCATCTTTATCTGGTGAGTTTTTGGATGTAGCAGAGCTCCAAACTCGTGGTTAATGGCGTAAGAAAGTTCAGAGAAAATTTCCCCAAAACTCTTGTGTTCATATCTGTGTATGAATTTCTCTTGAGTTTACATTTTGTGTTATGAATTCACTTAATCATTATTGTTCTTATCCACCGCTACCGCTACATGGTTTTTGATATTATCATTTTTCCTGCATAACAAATGTATCTTTAAGGGAATGCTCTAAAGAAATTGGATGCAGTAGATGGAAGATTTGACCTTGAGCTCAGGTTCACTTTTTATCAAGGGATCAGTTAGATTGCTTTTTGAAAGAAGTGAAAAAATCGATAAAGTCGCAATTTCAGATACAATTTAGCCTAAATTAAATAATATAAATATAAATTACTTTTGTACAAAAAATACAATTTAATATTAAAAATAAAAATAAGTAAAATAAACTATATAAATAAAATTAAATAACATATAAGAAAAAAAAGGGTTAATTGCAGGAAAAATCCTGACCTTTGTTTAAATTGCAAATAAAGCTCCACTTTTTTAATTTGGCAAAAAAATACTAAACTTTTTATAATTTTTGCAATTGTGTCTCGAAGTCACATTCCGGCCAAATAACGCTGACATGGCATGTCGTTAAATTGATGTGGCACCTAGGTGGATAACACAGGCATCGACACGGGCTCAGTGACAGTGTCACGGCCCGTGTCCCGACAAACCCTAGAAAACCATCCTGTGACTCTCCCTTCTTCTCATTCCCATCTCTGTTCCCCTCGCCCAACCGCTTCCTTTTCTCTTCCTCTGCCATTTGTGTCTTTTTCTGTGCCTCATTCGCCTTCAGATCCTGCAATTTCGAGTGGTTATAATACCCCACTCCCAAAAACGCCAGCCCGTATCCAAACAAATTCAGCGGCGTCACGGTGTCCTTAATCACGGACTAAGAGAAAGCAATCAACAACCAATCTTTCACCACACCAGCTACATTCATGGTCAAAGCCGAAGTCTTTCCAACCAGCAAGAACACAGCCAAATTCAAGGCGAAGGCACACAATGAATTAGTACCAAAAATCAGAAAATCAAAATGAAATCCAGAAAAATGTTGCTTCAAAACTGGATACTCCACCAACAGCCACGGAACCAAAAGAAAGGCCAAACAGCTGGGGGCGACATAGTAAAGAGAGGTGATGGGGTTTAAGCTAATCCCTTTTGAGGTCAACAAGATCTGAATCAACACCAACCTCGTCGCCTCGAAGACAACGGCGCCAAGCTGGAGAAGGACCCCCCATGAATCGTACTTGGCCTCTCCATAAGCAGCGATGGAGACCCCAAAAGAAATCGCGAGCATGTTGTCGGGACACGGGCCGTGACATGGTCACCGAGCCCGTGTCGATGCCCGTGTTATCCACCTGGGTGCCACATCAATTTAACGACATGCCATGTCATCGTCATTTGGCGGAATATGACTTCGAGACACAATTGCAAAAATTATAAAATGTTTAGTATTTTTTTGTCAAATTAAAAAGGTGGAGCTTTATTTGCAATTTAAACAAATGTCAGGATTTTTCTTGCCATTAACCCAAAAAAAAACTCACAAATCTTAGGGCACCCGCATTGCGGGCGTTCAATGCCCGTTCAAAGTTAATTGAAATGCCAACTTGGCATATTTCTGCAATGTGGCAGTTCATTTAATTGTGGGCCACCCTGTATCTGTTCAACCATTTGCTCCATTTTTTTTTTTTCTATCTTTTTCTATTTTTTTTATTTGAAAATCTTCTTATTTTACAAAAAGCATGGCAGCATGCTTTATCCTTTTTGTATTTTAAAATAATTATTTATTTAGTCTTTAGTCTTTTTATTTTTATATTTTATTTATTTTTTATCTATAAAAAAATATTGTACTATTTTTTGTAACTGTACTATTTTTTCTTGTGTAATCTTAATTTAAATTATTTTGGTCTTGTAGTGTTTTTTTATTTTTATGCATTTAAAATTTATTGTTATAATTTAAAAATATTAAAATTTATTTTTATTGTGAATAGAATATAAAAAATTATATTGAATGAGTGGAGAATGGGTCCCATATATGTAGTTAAATGAATGAGTAGGAATGTGAGATTGTGTTTAAATAGAGAGAGATTTATTGAAAAGATGATGTGGATGAGAGAGAGTGTTATTTTTTTATTGAATGAATGATTTCTGTGTTAAGAGATGTGGATGCCTTTAGAGGGGATATGTTTTGGTGTATTAAAGCCAACTTTGAATAAATTGACTTGCACTTTCGGCATCCGTCTTCAAACTTGAGCCGCCAATAATTGCTCCCCCAACAAAGCCCTAACTCGCCAATTCCTCTCATGACCTCAATCGACAGGCTCAGCGCCTTGCCGGACGACATCCTTCCTCACATCCTCTCTTTTCTCCCTATCAGAACCTCCGTCTCCACCAGCACCCTCGCCGCAAGATGGAGGTTTGTATGGGCTTATTCCCCTATCATACAAATCGGGAGTTTCTCTCATAGAGACGTCCTGAGAATTATTCTGCCCCAATGTAAAGCGCACAGCGTGAACACACTTCGCATCCTTGGGGATATCTACTTCGATTGGGAACTTGAGAAGATTCTCGAGAGCGCCTTTGCGTGCAAGATGAAAACTCTCGAAATTACTCAAGAGTATGACTATTGTGATTTGCCCCCTTGTGTGCTCACCTCCCAAACCTTAGTTGATTTGAAGCTCAGTCGTTTCTTTTTAAGATGAAGAATGTCACCGTGTGTTTACCAGCCCTCAAGAGGCTTCATATTAAGGTTGTTGGCCTTTATGACGGCTCCCTCGAAAACCTGATTTCCGGTTGTCCGGTGCTTGAAGAGCTCACCTATATCCAATGTAGCGAACATGTGGCATCCCATTGCATATCTTCGTCCACTATGAAGAAGTTGGTCCTCGATTCTGACTTACCTTACAAGTTGAAGATAGATACTCCTGCGCTTAATTATCTATTACTAGAGTATGATATCTGCCATCAATTCTTGGTTGTGTCGATGGACTCCTTAATTGAAGCACACATTGTTGTTGATCGTGTCGAACGAATTGTGAAGGACGATTTTTATTCTCATTCTCTGCTAGAATTTTTGGGTAGGTTCTCTAATGTAAAAGAAATGAGCTTATGTGCTTGGCCTGATTTGGTGAAGGTAAAACTAGTTTTTCTCCATCTCCTTTTACTTTTGCTTTTTCTTCTCTCTGTTTTTCATTCTTTTTGTAATCTTTGTTTTCCTCCAGGTTCCTGACTTTACCCCTGTTGATTTGAACATAAAGTTTCACAATTTAGCCAAACTCACGGTGAAAGGTGATTGGCGTTTCATCTCATATTTCGTGGAGAAGGCTAACATGTTTGAAGTCCTTAATGTTAGTCCGATTGTTTTGTTCGTATTTTCAACTTGTATGGTTATATGTGATTGATGGCCCGGCCTTGTTCTCATTTGTTTTCTTTTTTGTTTCATCATCAGGTCATACAATGTCTAGAACCGGAATGCGAGATGGAACCCGTCCAGTTGTCTATGGCTAATCCAATCATGAAGCTTCACAATTTAATAAAACTCGAACTGCAAGTCGATTGGTTGTTCCTAACATATTTCCTAGAGAAGGCTGATAAACTTAAAGTCCTTATTATCCACAATGTAAGCATTTCCTTTTTATTTCCAATTGATGAGGCCAGCTGGTTTCTGGCATTTTTGTTTACCTTTCTTTTCCGTTTTCAGGTTTATAATAAGCATAAGCGAAAACGCTGCATGGCGGCACCCCTCCAAGTGCCTAATTGCCTGTCATCACATCTTAAAATAGTACAAATTCATGAATTGGATGGCACAGAGCATGAACTCGACATGGTTAGATATCTATTGAAGAATGCTAAAGTCCTCGAGAGGATGGAAATAGATTGTCTGGCAGAATCGATTGGGAGAATTTCATCATTTGATCGAGGATCTGAGAAGTGTGAGATTGTCTTCAACGAATATCTGGAATCGGACCATGACTGACTTAGGTTTTTGACACGACTAAGTATGCGTCGTCATGCTAACACTCCACGGCTGAGGGTCTTTCGATAAATATAGTGCCTTTGGTCTTCGTATATCGCTCTCATTTATTCATGCGTGTCTTGTGAGTAGTTTTATTACCCTTTTCTTGTTGCTATTATGCTATGATAAAAAGACATGATAAAACGGCACAACCATCCAGAATCAAATTGGAAATTGGAAATTAACTATCGGAACATTTATTGTTGGATTTTACATTTTAAAAATGACTATACTTTTTTTTTTTTCTCTCCGTTCAGTGGGAAATGGCCATTTTTCATTAGAAAATGGTCTTCATCCCATTTCTTTACAGGAAACGTCCATCTATAACTTTTTTATTGTTTGAGCCAAGAAAATTATAGTTAGAAATTTCATTGTATCACTAGATTTTTTGATACTCCGTCACAACAGAATATGAAATTTTTCGGTATTTTTTATTTGTTTAGATGAATTAATTTTTAAAAATCAATCTATCATACTTCATTTTGTCGTGTGGCTACACAATTCCAATATTTGTTTTAATGATCGATTCAAAATTCATGACTAATTGAGTTAAAATCTTTTGTGTTAGAGAAGACAAATGTTAATAATCGATTCAAAATTCATGACTAATTGAGTTAAAATCTTTTATGTGTTAGAGAAGACAAATTGCTAGTTTCATGTACTTTGAGGCAATTTGTTAAGAAAAAAATTATGAAAAAATAAAAAATGAGTATACTTTAGGAAGTTTATTCTTTTTTCCTATTTTTATTTTACTAGTAAAACTCAATTATTAGAAATAAATTTTTTTTTCTAAATTAAAAATAATTTTGCAGGGATAAAATATACTGTGCATCCTATATTTAATAAAACTTGCACGATTTTTCCTTATATTTTAAAAAAGGGCACAAAACTCCCTTATATTTTGGTTTTGCTTTTACGTTTCCCCCTCTCGTCAAAGACAACGGTCCATGCATCTGACTGACATCACGACCTTTTCCACTTTTGCACTTTTATCACGAATATTGGATCTTGACATTTCGATAGCTAACCTTTTGAGTTTTTTTGTAAAACCAAACATTGATCCGGACTTCGGTGAACAGAGTGATACCAATCTATTACCAGTTGACGTGGCACACATTTCTCAAGCAAAAAAACCATGTTAGCTCAAAACGCCGTTGTTTGTATTAAATCCCAAATATATTTAATCCAATTTCAAATAAATCCCAAATTTTGAAATCAATAACTAAACCTAATTTCCTCTTTCCAATTTCACTGCCCATCAGGAGATGTAAGTTTCATGACATGTCAACAAATTCCAGCCTAACTTCATCACAGGTAAAAATGTGTCGGGTTGGGTAAACAAAGCTCTGTTGGTAGTTCTTCGAGGTTAAAATTCACCACTACACCAATGCAACTTAAAGGTTAAAATTCAACAATTCGAAGTGATATTAATGCCACATACAAAAATTGAAAACATATATATATATAAAAAAAAAGAATAGGGCAAATTACAACAAATTATACTAAATCAGAAAAATAAAAATAAAAATTGGATAAAATTATAATTAACTGAATTTATATAAATTTGAAGCTACATGGTATTTGACATCACGACCTTTCCCACTTTCTCACTTCTATCACGAATATTGGACCTTGGTATTTCGATAGCTAAACTTTTGTGTTCTTTTTTGCAAAACGAAACATTGATTCGGTCTCCGGCGAACCAATTGATACCAATCTGTCTGGCAATTTAGTTGACGTGCCGCACGTTACTCAAGCAAAAAAGCTATGTTAGCTCAAAACACCGTCGTTTGAATTAAATCTCAAATTTATTTAGTCCAATTTCAAATAAATCCCAAATTCGGAAATCTATCTATATATATATAATTGCTAGCCTTTCATTTAATTTTACCTCATAAATAAAACCTAATAAATTTTATCTAATAAATAATACGAACTTTCTAAATACAAAAACCGTTACTTTTACAAAATACATCACTTTTGGACAGTTACAAAATCTAAACTAATGACCACTATTTTATCTAAGTATATCAATTTAGGTTAATTAGTTAAAAATGTTTACTTTTTTAATTTCTTACATAATCATTAATATGCTAACTTAATTACGAATTATTTATTATAGATATTCATGATTACATAAGCATGTATTCAGAATATAAATTTGTAAAAAAACTTTTTTATAAATGTTTATTTGGAATATCTATTGTTTTTTATGATATTACTACAATAATTAATCATGGTGAAAATGAAAAATACAGCACATGTACAACATGGACAATACA